TCAAAGACAGGGCAGTGGAATTCATCCAATCGGAGGAGCAAAAAGCAAGAAAGAACGAAAAAGAGGGAAGATAGCTTAACGGACTTATGGAATAGCAACAACTGTGGCCCAATATATGCATCATAGGGGTCTCAGAAGGAGAAAACAGAGAGAAAGGGGCAGAAAGTTTATTCAAAAAAATAATGGCAGAAAATTTCCCTAAAACCTGGAGAAAGAAACAAACATCCATATCCAGAAAGCCCAGAGGTTTCAAATAAGAAGAATCCAAAGAGATCTACACCAAGACATAGTACAACCAAACTGTCAAAAGTTAAAGACAAGGAAAGAATCTTAAAAACAGCAAGAGAAAACCACTTGTTATGTACAAGGGAACCTCCAGAAGACTATCAGCAGATTTTTCAGCAGAAACTTTGCAGGCCAGAAGGGAGAAGCATAACATACTCAAAGTGTTGAAAGAAAGAAAAAAAATCCCAACCAAGAATATGCTACCTGGCAAGGTTGTCCTTCAAAACTGAAGGAGAGAGAAGGAATTTTCCAAACAAGCAAAAGTTAAAGGAGTTTATCACCACCAGACTGGCCTTACAAGAAATGATACAGGGAGTTCTTCCAGCTGAAAAGAAAAGACATTAATTAGAAACAGGAAGACATAGAAAAGTATAAATCCCACTGGTAAAAGTAAATATATAGTTAAATTCAGAATACTCTAATGTTGTAATGGTGGATAAATAACTTATAAATCTAGCATGAATTTTAAAAGACAAAAGTATTAAAAATAACTATAATTACAATATAATGCTAATGGATACACAAAGTAAAAAAGATGCAAATTCTGACACCAAAAACAAAATATGGAGACAGAGAGTCAAAATGTAGATCTTTAGTATGTGTTTAAAGTTAAATTATTATCAGCTTAAAATAGACTGTTACAAATATAAGATGCTTTATGTAAACCTCAAGATAACCACAAACAAGAACCTATAGTAGATACACAAAAGATAAAGTGAAATGAATCTAAGCATATGACTACAGAAAATCATCAAATCATAAAGGAAGAGAGCAAGAGAAGAAAGGAATAAAGAAATTACAAGGGCTAGCCTGGTGGTATAGTGGTTAAGTTCACTTGCTCCACTTGGGTGGCCTAGGGTTCATGGGTTCAGGTTCTGAGTGTGGACTTACACACTGCTCATCATGCCATGCTGTGGTGGTGTCCCACATATAAAATAGAGGAAGACCGACACAGATGTTAGCTCAGGGCCTATCTTCCTCGCCAAAAAAAAAAAGAGGAAGAAAAGAAAAGAAATTACAAACTGGCAGAAAACAATTAACAAAATGGCAATAGTAAGTCCATATCTATCAATAATAACTTTAAACATAAATGTACTATATTCTTCAATCAAAAGATACAGAGTAACTGAGTGGATAAAAAAAGAAGACCCAATGATACACTGCCTACAAGAGACTCCCTTTAGATGTAAGGGCACACACAGACTGAAGGTGAAGGAATGGAAAAATATATTCCACGCAAATGGAAACCAAAAGAAAGCAGGGGTAGCTATACTTATATCAGACAAAATAGACTTTAATCCAAAAACTGTAAAGGAGAAAAATAAGGTCATTATATAACAACAAAGGGGTCAATCCAACAAGGGGATATAACATTTGTAAATATTTATGCATCCAACATAGGAGCATTTAAATATTTAAGAAAATATTAACTGACCAGAAGGGAGAAAAAGACAGCAATACAATAATATTAGGGAACTTCAATGCCCCACTTTCAATAATGGATGGGTCATCCAGCTGTGAGAAGGAAGTAAATCCTGCCATTTGTGACAAAATGGATGGATGCTGAGGGCATTATGCCAAGGGAAATAAGCCAGACAAAGACAAGTGCTGCATAGTATCACTTATATGTGGAATCTTAAAAAAAAAAAGTCAAAACTTATAGAAACAGAGAGCAGAAAAGTGGTTTCCAGGGACAAAAGGGGTTGAGGAAATAGGGAGAGGTTGGTAAAAAGTTACAAACTTTCAGCTATGAGATGAATTTGGTCTGAGGATCTAATATAAAGCATGGTGATTATTCTTGATAACACTGTATTATATAGTTGAAATTTGCTAAGAGAGTAAAACTTAAATGTTCTCACAAAAAAAATAAAATAAACATATGAGGGGATAGATGTGTTAACTATCTAGATGAGGAGAATCTTTTCACAACGTATACATATATCATCACAATACATATTTTAAAAATCTTATAATTTTTATTGTGTTTGTTGAGGAACACTGGCCCTGAGCTAACCTCTGTTGTCAATCTTTCTTTCCTTTGCTTGATGGAGATTGTTGTCGAGCTAACATCTGTGCCAATCTTCCTCCATTCCATATGTGAGATGTCACCACAGCATGGCTTGATGAATTGTGTGTAGGTCTACACCTGGGGTACCCACAAACCCTGGGCTACCGAAGCGGAGAGTGTGAACTTAACCACTATGCCACTGGGCCAGCTCCAATCTTATAATTTTATATATAAATTATACTTCAATAAAGCTGAAATTTAAAAGAAAGAAAGAAAATCAAAGAATCTGCAGTGATAATGCTTTTTGGAAATATTAAGGAAGAGGTCCAAACACTAGCATGAAGGATTCATTAGATGTCGACAGTTGTAAAGGAATTCTGTTAGTATCCACAACAGGGTGTGTGTCAGTCTTTGTCCATTTCCAGCAGCCATTGATGAGTGAAGGACTACATAGTCTCTCATGGGTGGCCATGACTTTCCCCTCTAGAGCCGACCAGAGCTGATCACCATGATCTGGGGATATAATTGTGATGTTTCTTGGGCTGTAGAGCAGTGAAAATTACACCGTTGCTAACGAGCAGTCAGCAAAACACCAGAGAACCAAGAAACATATGTTTTCTCAGGCTCAAACCTCTGGAGAATCTCCCTAGATCCATAATGTGGTGATCATTCTGAAGACTCTAATATGCTGAAACCTCTGCCCAAAGTGGTTAGAGGCACATAGTTTGCATATCTTGATAACGTTTCTAGAAATCTAAAGTTGTGATAACTTTATTTAGCTCGTTCCAATGTTAAGATCTTTTCCTGTCATACCTCTTTGATCTAAAATATTGCCGTACTGTCAGCTCAGCTCATTTCCTTCTCTTTGTGTTACCCAGAGTCTAACACATTTTTATCTTCGTGTATGAAAAGTTAAATAAATTAAAGTAAATCTCTATGCATTGTGGCTGCCCCAAAATGAAAATCTCATACGGACCTAATCACCTCCATTGAAACCTAACCTATCTGGTGTCCCATCCATTCTCAAGACCTTTATTTACTACATATATTAATTCCTGAAGATTTGCGTAAAGCCTCTTCAATCTGAGGTAGCACTTGCATTTTGGTGGCTCATTTTGCAGCCTCTACATCTTATTCCAAAGAACTAACTCTGGGAGTTTGAGGAGACACATTTTAAAGAACCCCAAACACTATCCTATTACATTCTTTTATCATGCCTGGATAAACGTCTACTCTGGCCCACCTATAATAAAGAAAGTAGACTATTTTTTCAACAAAGGTGACTTGACAGTATTTCCAACCCTTTATCTTCTGTTCTCTTTCAAGACACCCCTAAGTCACCTATTCGCACACATCTCTTCTTTTGGAAAGAAGAGTTATGGTACAGGGCAAGACTGTACTGATGCTAAGACTTTCAGACTACTATTGAGTTTCTTTCCTCAGCGTTTGATGTTTCACTGGCTGGCTGGCTCAGTATTCACGATGCTTTGTCAGTGTCTCAAGTTATGTTTGGAAAAGAACTTGTCCAAATTCTCCATTTCTCCTCCACTCACTGCAATTGGCGGTGGCATGGCAATTCTCTTCAAGGTAAACATGAAGAAACCCGAAGGCGATAATACTCGCCTTTCAGTTGGAGTAATTACCTGGCCTCTACCAACTGCAGACTTCTGCGTGTTGATAGGACTCATTCGACAGGTTCTTTTTTAAAATAGGTAATGATCTTTAAAGGATGAAACCCTACTTCATAACATGCAATTTTGCTAACCACTCTGTTTAGAAAACCGGGTTCCCTCTGGTTTCCCAGCGCTGGTAGCTCCGCTTGACGCATGAAGTTGGGGCTGCCTCGGTCATGCCACTTTAGATTACTGGATCTCACAGGATGCTACAAGGCAGACACACCCCAGGCTGACTCACTGAGTGGGAAGTTTAAAAAGATGGTTTTCCTCAGCCATCAATTAGATAAACCACATTTTCCAGGAGAAAAACAGCATCTTGAAAAGCTCTTTACAAACAAAGCTCTCTTGCTCAGAATGCTTTCGGTCATGTTTTCTTGTGAAGGGAAGTATGACTTTAACCTTAATTGCACTGACAAATTAGCAAGTAAAGTATAATGCCACCCTTTCCCCTCTTCCTTCCTTCCTTCTTCTTTTTTTTTTTTTTCCTCAGAAGGAGACACTTTCATGATTTTAGCTTTGGTAAAATTAGAGCATTCTTCCTCTTGGCCACTTCCCTCAAATTTGTGGTTTTGACCAACCACTTGGTGAGCAAGTTATAGACGCAGGCCTGAATTCTCTTTCCTCTGCCCCACTTACACTTCTTTGTACAGTTTTCCCTACCTTTTTTGCGACCTTCTTGAAAATACACTGAGGAAAGGACATTTGTAGATTGTACCATTTTGAAAATGGCGATTTGGATTGAAGATGTATGTCAGGAAGAATTAAGCACTGAAAAGCGATTTGAACCTCCTCGCCTCATCTTTTTCCAGCGCTGGCTGCACGCGGAAAGTACTGGATAAATGTCTCCCACTGAACTGTAAGATTCCCAAGGACAAAGGACGTGTTAGTGGTTTCCATCGCCTGTATACAGTGTACCTAACACACATTGAGTAATATTTTCAAAAGCAGGCCATCCTCATCATGTAAAAGAATAAATAAGAGAAAAACCATGCAATTGAATATTTTGCACAGAACCTTATTTCCTTACTCACCTGAAACTTGAGACCAAGGCGACACAGATATTCTGGGCCTGAGGACCCCTTGCACATAATTTTGATAGAGACATCTCTTGGATCTGAGACCAGTAGGTGATTATCACTATCCCCTTGCTGCACTCCTCTTGTGAGGGAAAGCTGCTGTTGGGTATGTGGATGCTAGGGATCCGGGAACACGAAGGCATCACCCTGCTTGCAGGTCTTGTAGAACTTTGTCTGCACTGGAGTCAACTTACAGCAGCCAAAGGTAATGCGTGTTCAATAAATTCGGATGAAAGTAGTGCCAAGAGATGAGAATGATGTAACCAGGTTTATTGCGTGGCTATGTGTATGGGTGCGAGTATGTACTATCCCATTTAGGTGTCATACTAAACCAGAAAGGTATTATCTTCACTTCACAAATGAGAAAACAGGCTCAAATGAGTAGTTTGATCACGGTCAGAAGAGTAGGAACTTGCTGATTCTGGCTTCAAGATCTGTGCTCTTAAATATTAAATAATGCCGCTTCTACCAAGTTATATTTCCTCTCTGGTATGAGAGATTCTGCCACTCTTTTCTACTTCAGTTCCACTAGCTATTTTTTTGAGAGTTAATTCACAGTAGAGTGGTAGGAAAACAGATATCAGAGAGATAAAAGAGTCTGCTCTTTAGTGCCAGTATTACGATTCCTTTGTCATGGCCAAAGGCTTCACCACCGCCTCTTTCGGGGAACGTGCAATGGGGCAGGTGGAGGGGAAGTACAGTTCTTACGGTGGATCTGAACAATACCATCCAAACTTTTCCATATCACCACTGCTTCTTGGGTGTCCTGGGCTGCGTCCTCTAGTCTGAGAGCCTTAGGAGTACCCTTGGCCTTTGAGTCAGTTGCTGACACAGGGTAACTTAGACAAGCTGACAGTCTTAGGACACAGCAGGGCACTCTCCTGTTGGACAGTCAGTGGGCAATACAGTCACCTGCAGTGGACACTCACCTGGAGGGCAAGGGATGGCCCATGGGCATCATTGGCGGCTTTGCTCACAAAGGGCTCCACGGTGCTGCATGGTGCTGACAAAGCAGAGGCTGAGCAGACGGTGGATACTGATTCTGCTCCTCTCCTCCACGTCTTGAAGGTCTCTCACAGGCCTCCATCCTACCTGCCTCCATCCTTCTCTATCTCCCAGTTAAGGCATTCCACCAAATGCTTATGATTAAACATTATGCTCGTTCAGGCAGCTTTCGGAGCCTGTTTTAGAATGAATGCTGAACGCTGTTTTCCATGAATGTTCCATCGCAAATACCCTAATATTCTCCCAGGTAATGGATGGATTGGGAAAAATTCATGAACAAGGAGCAGCAAAGGAAAAAAAGAAAATCACATTAATATGTTCCAAAATATCACATTGCACCCGAGACTCCAGAGGATCTTACGCAAGTTTTTTCCTAATGCATTTGAAGGATTTTGAATAACGTCACGTTAACATCATATTTTCAAAATTTGCTGTGTTCCGCAGACTCTCTCATGACCTTTGTGTCAGCATCCATAATTGGTTAATATATCCACTAAGGGGTAAAAGGCAGATTTTAAAAAGTAATTAAGGCAATTTAGCAATAAATGGCAGCATTATAGGGTCCTTGGCCCCCAACCAAATTAGATAGACTTATCATTTAATGTTTATCTCAAGGAAACATAGGACCCTGATGAGTGACCTACAGTCTTAAATAGCTAAGACCACTGACTGGATAACTTTTCTTATTATTAATACCATTACCATTAATAGTTAATGGTTAACTTTTCTTCCTAAAGAGTTATTCTGGGTTCTAACCTACTTCGGGTTGTCTGTAGAGCAAGTTGTCATTTCTTTTCATAACAGAATTTTGATGTCTCCTGAAAGGCCATACTGGGTAAGAAAATGGGAAGAATGAAACAAGTGACGGCATGTTCCCTCCTGGGAGTTTCCTATGCCAGACCCTCATCCCTGCCCGCCCTACCATTCTAAGTCTCAGCTCCATTCAGTTGTGTGCTCCTGGAAAGCTTCATAATAAAGACAATGTGGCCCACTTAAAGTTTGTAGTCCAACTGCAAATTGACCCTCGATACCTTTTGGAAGTGATGCTCTTCTCTCTACCTAGCATTCCTCCTTAACCATCCTACTTGCCTGCCATCTTCATCAGTTTGTTTGTCTTCCAGAAATATCAGTGGACAATACAGTCACCTGCAGTGGGCGCTCACCTGGAGGGCAAGGGATGGCCCATGGGCATCATTGGCTCCGCCCACAAAGGGCTCCATGGTGTCTTGATTTCCTCATTTTTCTGTGAAAATTGATATAGACAACATATATTAAGCACTTACTATGTTCTAGTAGCTATCATCACAACAGTGCTTGAGGTAGTAACTATTATTATCCACATTTTACTGATGTGAAAGCTAAGGGGGCTAACTAGTTTCTCAAGGCCACCAGTAAATGTCAGCTGAATGTGGCAGAGCTGGCTTACTAACCATGGTTGTCCCTTTCCAGAACCCAGGCTCTGAAGCATCTCTTTCTTTATTCTCTTCTGATAAAAATGGATGTATCTCCTCCAAGCCCTATATGTGTTATTTATATTTTTATTATACATTTGTTATCAGAATCCCGTTTTCTGAAATTCTTTGTAATTGTATCCTCTATCACAAAGACCCAATGTGGCTTTATTCTTACTCATTACTGAAAATGAAAAACAGCAATCTGATTGGGGGAAGTTGACGTTGCCAAATGTTGAAATCAGTACATTTTTGCCACACTAAACTGATGTCATTTTCTACATTGAAATTTGCTGATTTTATACTCTACTGACACTGCCCCATTATACTCGAACTGCAGCAAGCTTTTTTACCAGGTGTATTGAGAACGTCTTTCTGGAAGAAAGTTCCTATCGTTGTGACGAAAGATAACTACAGATGACTAAGTGTAAGAGAACTACTGATGGGTTGATTCGGCTTGGAGAGAAGTTTCTAGGGCTGCTTAACAGATATCAAAACCTGAATAAAGTTAGCAAGGATATGTTAATCCAACTCAGATGATGTGAAACTGGAATGGACAATGACAGATGTCCATGGAATGGACAATGTCAAGGGGGAGCCGAGAAACCTTTAAATATTATTGATCATTAACAAGCACGAATGTTCACTAAGCAGAGCTAAATGTAAGATCCTGCACCTAGGTTGAAAAGGATTGTATAAAATGTAGGATGTGGCTTAACAGCACCACATATAAAAAATAAAACAACAACATAACGTCGAAACTGCTCCTCTGAGTCAACATCTGAGTGACCACGGAAATTCAATGCAATATTAGGATGGATGGATTTATCTAAGAGTCAGGCTGTTTAATGTTTGTTGTAGCTGTAGGTGTCAGCAGCTAAAATTTCCTTTAGTGTCCATGTTTTTGTCTCCCCTGTTGTCTTTGGGCTTCCCGAGAGAATTTTTCTTAAATAGGGTCTGAGCTTTGCAGTTCTTTTAGCTATAATTCACTGTTATCGTGCAGGAGCCCTATTGATGTGGTGGTAGATGTGGAGTGAGGGGAATCACTCTAGTCTTATGCTTAGGTCTTTGTCTTTTAGCCAGCCTGTGCCCTGGCCTGACTCTCACAAGTACTTCTAAGCTCCCCCCTTCCCCCACCCCTGCCCTGTCATTAGGTGAGACAGGAAGGCTAGAGGGGGCTGGAGTCGGAGATTTCCCTTCCCCCAGGTCAGTTAAGCTCTAGCAAATAGCTTCCCTTGAGGGCAGGACTTTATTAAGGAGAGCAGAGAGCTCTGGGTGTATTTCAAAATGATTGCTTTCCCCTCCCCCCTCCCCCTGCAAGAAGCATGAGGGGATTTTCCTCTGATCTTTACCCTGAGAACCTAGTGGGGCTCCTGGAGGTAAAACTTAAAAAAATGAGAAGTATATCCATACTGAGCCTCCAGCAATTTGTGGATTATAGTTTAGGTGTTCCTACCAGTACTGGCTCCAGCTGCAGGCTTCTGCTCCCGTAAGCTGACTGTCACTATCTGCCTCTCTCTCTAGTTTTTGTGGCAAATGTTTTGTCCTGTGACCCCAATTCCCTGATGCATCTAAGAAGAGCTGTTGATTTTTCCAGTTTGTTCAGGTTTTTTCTTGTTGTGACAACAAGAGTGATGACTTTCAAGTTTTTTACATGTCAGGCCAGAAACCAGAAGTCAGAATGATAGATTTATATCTAAATCTAGAGAGGTGACAGTGGTGCTGATGGAGTCTAATCAAATCCAAGAAATGGAGTTGAGCTGTAGTTACCTCACTTGAAAGAACATATCCAAAGACCGGTGAAAGGAAAATAAAGCAATGCAAAAGTAAGAATTATTAAAGAATCTGAAAATTGGTTGAATCAACATCAATGCCACACTAGGTTTGCCATTCAGGAAATTTGTTCATGGTTAGAAAGCTGTCTTAATGTCACTACTTTCCAAATCAAGTTTTATAAAATATATAGACAGCACTGACAATTTACTTTTTTTTACTCACTATAAATTGTGAAATGATTTCTAATGAGATGCCAGGAATTCTGCCATAGAAGCAGAAATATTCAGTAATTTCTAGCCACTGTTGGTAGAAATTTAGTAAGTATATTCTCCCTCATAGATAATGATGCTGGTATAATTTGGTTAGGTAAAAGTACTATGATTCACCTGTTAGTGAATTAGTGTCTCAGAAAATACCAAGAAATACATATTTTCCTTGAGTAAAGATGATTCAAAGTAAATAAAAATTTTCCCACAAAGCAAACATCAGACCCAGACAACGTGACAGAGTGGTTCTACCACACATTCAAGGGAAAAATAATTTCAGTTTTTGCACAAAATTCTTCCAAGAGAATAGAGAGAGAACACATCCCATCTCATTTTATGAGTCCAGCATTTTCATGTTCAAACCTGATCAGAATAGTCAAATAAATAAAAATTATGTAACAACCATACTCTTGGACAAAAATGCAAAATGTTAGCAATTAAATAAAATATTAGCAATCTGTATACAGTAATACATAAGAAATTAACACATCATGAGTAAGGTATGTTTAACCCTGGATTGCAATGTTGGTTTAATAATATAGAATCAATTAATGTAATTTGTCACATCATTAAAAGGAGAAAGGGAGATGATTGTCTTAATAGATACAGAAAAAGCATTTTAAGAAATTCAATATCCATACATGATTTAAAAAAATATTTTGGCAAATTAAGAAAGCTTGAAACTTCATTAATTTTACCAAAGGCAAACAAAAACACATAAACAAAAAAAATGTATAGCAGACATCAAACCTAAAGATATAATGTTGAAAGCATTTTCTTTAAGATCAGGAAAAAGATAAGGATGCCTCTTACCATCACTTCTATTCAACCATTGACTGTGGGATCTAGCTAGTGCAATGGAGCAGGAAAGAAAGAAAGAAACATGATAAGGAAGGAAAAGAAGAACCAAAAGTCTCATTTTTTGAAGGTGATATAATTTTCATCTTACGGTGGAAAATCTAAAAGAAGTTACAGAAAAATTAAGACATCTAATAAGAAAGTTTGGCAAGTTTTGATACAAAAATCAGTATATAAAAGTCAGTTGTATTTCTGTGTCAGGAATAAGCAGTTATAAATCAGTTTTAAAAAGGACACTTTTAGGGGCCGGCCCCGTGGCTGAGTGGTTAAGTTTGTGTGCTCTGCTTCGGCAGCCCTGGGTTTCGTGGGTTGGGATCCTGGGTGCGGACATAGCACTGCTCATCAGGCCATGCTGAGGCAGCGTCCCACATGCCACAACCAGAAGGACCCACAACTAAAACATGCAACTATGTCCTGGGGGGCTTTTGGGAAAAGAAGAAGAAGAAAAATAAATAAATAAATAAGAAGGACATTTTCAGTGACAACTAAAAATAAAAAAATACCTAGGGATAATTCTATCGAAAGGCGTGCAAACCCTTAATGGAGCAAATTATGAAATTTTGATAAAAATCATCACAGATGACCTAAACAAGTGGAGAAAAAGAACCTGTTCCTGTAAAGACTCAGTTTTTCTACAGTAAGCTATAGATTCACTGAACTTCCAAGGAAAACCCTGAAATGGTTGTAGGGTGCACTGTGGAGTGGCAGTGCCTGGTCAGCTTATATCAGCAGGAGGTGGTTGAGGACACAGGGAACTGTATTCTGAAGGCGCTGGATCAAGTGGGTCAGACCATAAATTGGATAAGAGAGAGTTTTTTGATTTGAGAGCACATTTCTATCTTACAGGATTTAATCCCTTAGCGAGGACCCCAGGAGACAACGTTAATGCACTGCTGGGATAACTCTTGGATGCCTGGAAAAACCAATAGCACGCACTAAGTGAAGCAGAAGTGCCAGAATTGCCACAGCAGGGAGTGGAGGAAGGGGTCAAAAAGTTCACAGAAGTGGCATTCAAAAGTGGACATAGTATATAAGGCCAAAAATCCTATCAGCTGACTATATTCTACAGGGGCCTGGAGGACATTCCATTTATTACAAAATAAAGAATCTGCTGATGAGAGAGGCACCAACATCACTAAGAAGCTTTTCTCTCTAAGCTTGGAACAGCAGTTACAGAACTGGGTTCACAGATGGCAATGAGGATGATCCCAAAATACTAGAGGCCAGGAGATGTGGCTTAACCGTCAGAATGGAGGTGGGCACAGTTATCACAAACAATGGAGGTTAGAGTGGCAGCCAGGAGCAGCTGCGGAGCTATTTAACAGAATAGTCTTCCTAGGAGCCTAAGAGATGGAAGCTTTCCTTATCCCGATCCATTGGGCTTAAGAAGAGGTGGGGTGACTAGAAGATAGGATACTAAACCATCATAGCACTCAGTAGTAACTTTCCTAGTCCTTCCTAAAAGTATGTGAAAGCCATTTGCCAGTGGGGAAAGGGGAAAACCCAAACATATTGAGGACTACTGGGCACAGGGACTGAGTTGGCCCAAAGTGGCAAGGGTCCTCCTTTTAGGGTGAGGGCATAAAGAAGTGAGGTAATAAAAGGAATCCTGACCCAGGTCCAGCTCACAGAATGTCCATTGAGTCCATGGATTCAGTCAGTGGTCATTTCTCCCAGCCCTGGAGTTAAAATGAAAACAGTATAGTTGGTAGATGGCATAACCTTCATACTTACTATATTTACTTTTTTGGTGAGGAAGATTGGCCCTGAGCTAACATCTGTGCCAATCTTCCTCTATTTTTGGGATGCTGCCACAATGTGGCTTGATGAGCAGTGTGTAGGTCTGCGCCTGGTATCCGAACCCACGAACCCTGGGCCACCGAAGCTGACTGCACAAGCTTAACCACTACACCACCCAGCCGGCCCCCACACTTATTTTTTGATCCGTAGAATAACACCTATCCCAGCATGGAAGGCCATGTTGAAATTTCAGAAACTTCTCTCCTTTTTCTGGCCAAAACTGTAATTACAAGCAATATTGCATCTTGGAACGGCGGGGTGGATGCCAGAGATGAGCACTACCCTTCAAGTCCTAAAGTGTGCAGAGGTGGTGGTCTCCACTGTGTACCCACTTAATTCTCCTTTGGGGCCCTCACAGAAACTAGACGGATCCTGGTGGATGACAGTAGTCTACTGCAAACTCCACCAAGAGATAAGGTATCTTTGCTAGAGCAGATTGACACAGCCTTAGATACATGGTGTCTTTAATTTACATAACACCCATCAGTGAGCATTCACCAAGCAAGAAATGCTAAGCAGCCAATAGACAGAATAGTGTAAACAATTGGCCTCCACCAGCCTCTGCCACTGGTCGCCTCAGTGCCAGCACAATGGACTCAAGAACGAAGTAGTTGTGGTGGCAGGGATGGAGGCTGCGCAGGAGTCCAACAACAAGTGTGCCTATTCACCAAGGCTAATCTAGCTACTGCTACCACCAGATACCAGCCTGCCAGCAACAGAAAGCAGTCCTGAGCCCCCCAGTTCAGCATATCTCCCACAGAGAACAAGCAGCCACTTGGTGGCAGGTTGATTACACTGGATCTGTTGTGGCTTGAATTGTGGTCTCCCAAAAGATATATTTGTGCCCCCCAAAATGTATGTTGAAATCCTAACACTTGGTATCTGTGAATGTGACCCTGTTTGGAAATAGGGTCTTTGAAGATGTAGTTAAGATGGAAGGTAAGATGAGGTGGAGTAGAGTGGGTCCTTAACCCAGAATGACTGGTATCTTTATAGAGAGAAGAGCCGCAGAGACAGACACAAACAGTGAGGAGAACGCATGTGAAGACACAGCCATGTGACAACAGAGGCAGAGATGGGAGTTATATAGCTGTAAATTAAAGAACACAAAGGATTGCTGACAACCACAAGAAGCTATGAGAGACAGCATAGCCCTGCCAAGACCTTGACTCTAGACTTCAGGCCTGAAGAACTGTGAAAGAAGAATTTTCTGTTATTGTAAGTCATCCAGTTCATGGCAGTTTGTTACTGTAGCCCTAGGAAACTGAGACAGGACCACTTTCACTCTTGGCAGGGGCAGCCATTTATTTCATCTAGAACTGATGCATATTGTGAGTATAGTTTGCCTTTCCTGCCTGCAGGACCTTGGCCCGCACAACTGAAGGCATACAGTGATTGGCCAACACAGAACAGAGACCACTACCTAACATTGTCTCGGACCAAGGGCCTCACTTTACAGCCAAGATGGTACAGCAATAGACACATTTCTATGGGATCCAATTGGTCGTATCACAGAACACTACCAAGCATATAGTGTCCTCCTAGAGCAACTGAATGGCTTTTTGAAGGTACAGCTGAGGCATCGACTTGAGAATGATGCCTTAAAAAGATGGGATGCCATCCTCCAGGATATATCTCTGCAACCTGTAGGTCTAGAGTTCCTGGTCCCCAGATGGGGAGTGTTTCCACTAAGAAAACAGCTAGAGTTTGATTGAGCTTTAAACTACAGGTACTGCCCAATCCCTGAAGACCCCTTCTATCAAGAGAACAGCAGACAAGAAAAGGGGATAACTGACTTTAATCATCTTCAGGAGGAGGTGGGGCTGCTGATATACGACGCAGACAAGGAAGAATACCTTTGGCACCTATGTGAACCACTATATCATCTCTTGCATCTCCCTTGCCAAATTTTGACAGTAAACGGACAAGTGCAGGAGCCATATCCTAAGAAGGCCATGATAATTAGATCACATCTTTAGGGGATAAGGGGCTGCGTCATGCCTTCTGTAAGTCACTGAGACCAACAGAAGTGCTAGTAGGGGGTGAGGGGAATCTAGAAAATGTGGTGGAGAAGGGGAATTATGAGTTACAAGCTTGAGTAACTTGAGTAATTAGTTACTTGAGTAATTAGGTGCAATCACCAAACTTCCTCTTGTAAATTTCCCCAGAAAAGAGAACAAGCAGAATCCCGATGCTGTAGTGCAGCACCCAAATCCACCACGGCACTCATTCCCCGAGCTGCCTGGAGTGTTGACTGCTGACAGGTTATAGTTGACTCTCTCTGGAAGAATTGCTTTTGGCCGAAGGGAGCTGCCTTACCCAATGTGATATCATATTCTCTTCGTGGAAGTAGTCCAGATGCAACATTTGGTAGATGTGGGGGTTAAAAGGCCTGGCCCCTTTACCCAATTTGGGACATCTCTGAAGAGCCCACCAGCTCCAGAGCTCCCCATGATATCCACCGAGGCCTCTGATGAACCCGCACCACGGTTCAACTTCTCCCTCTACCCCACCCTACTTGTCTCACTCCTTCTCAGGTATTGACTGCAAGGACATAAACTTCTGCACATAAATTCCCATCTCAGAGTCTGTTTCCCAGGGAACCCAAGCCAAGACAAGGGTTTACTGTGGAACTTTAGCAGCTGATCCTAAAATGTATATGCAAGTGAAAAATCCAGGAATAATCAAGAAACTCCTCAAGAAGAACAGAGTTGGGAAATGGGTGGTGGTGCTGGAGGGACCTGCACTATCAGACATCAAGACTTGTCATAAAGATGTGGGAAATTAAATGTATACCTTTGCAACATAAAAACACAGATAAACAACTAATGGAGAACTGAACATAGACCCAAACATAGACGAAAGCTTGAATCGTGAGAGCGGATCTCAGGGATCATTGAAGGAAAGATGGACTGTTCAGTAATTGTGTTGTGAAAATTCACTGTTTCATACTATATGCAAAACTAAAATCCAAGTGGATTAGTGACTTAAACGTAGAAGATAAAACTATAAACTTTTAGATGAGAGCATAAGAGAGTATCTTTATCACATCAGGGTTGGGAAGGATTTCTTAAACAAGACACAAAAAAGCATAAGCCATAAAAGGAAAAATTAATGTTTGACTATATTAAAATTAAGGACTTCTTGTCATCAAAAGTCCCCATGAACAAAATGAAAAACTAATTCACAAACTAGAAAAATATATTTGAAATTTATACAGCTATAAAGGATTACTGTCTAGAATGTATAAAGAAACCCTACAGACCAATAAGAAAAAGTAAATCCTCCAGTTTTGAAATGAAAGACACGAGCAGGTATCTTTTACCACATTAATATAAATCTTTAAAAAGCAATTTATAATAAAATGAGAAGTGTCTAAAAATTTATACACAAGATATACACACGTTTGGCCAGGGAAGGTGTTTGTTGGTTTTCAGACTATAAATGTAGACTAACACTCATATATTTTGCTCATCTACGTACAGTTCTTGATACTTTTCCAGTGATTTCAATCTTCACTAAAACCCCATCTTAAAAAATATTCTTAACATGCTATTTAACTATTAAGCAAAAATTGGCTTCATCTCTACTATTCAAGCACAATTCTTAAAAGAATTAAAATTAACTAATTGAAATTCTTAATCTTTAATTAAAATTAATTACAAATTAGAATTCTTTAATGTGTGTGTAATAGTTGTGAAAAGGTATTTTATATATTTATACACTATAAATATTGGAGCTTTTTACCGAAGTAAAATTGACATACAATATTATATTAATTTCAGATTTACAACATGGTGCTTCAACATTTATATACATTACAAAATGATCATCACAAAAAGTCTAGTTACAATCTGTCCCCATAAAATGTTAATACAATATTATTGTCTATATTCCCTGTGCTGTACATTACATCCCCATGACTTATTTATTTTATAACTGAAAGCTGATACCTCTTTATCCCTTCACCCATTAGAGAATTTATTTTTAAAAACCAGCTCATAGAGAATTTCTGATTCAGTAGATTTGAAGTGTGGTATAAACTACCCAGGGAATATCAACTCGAAATGGAGTATTTGACCATACCCCTCTCACTTTCCACTAGTCTAGAAATATCAGATATGTTACTCATGTTCTGTCTCTCCTCTCACACTCAGTCCTTGGCAGTTATCACTAACGAATTAGCATCTTTTCTATCAGGGTACCAACCTTCTCTCCCAATTCCTTTCTACAGAGTGCTCTGGGGAGCCACTATCAATTCCTTAGAGTTGGCAAAATAAATAAAACTTACTTGCCATCTCTAGTCTAGATCAAGCGGCATGGTAAAAAGACATTTTTCATTTTGCCCTTCAGGAATATTCTGTTCCTACCAATAACAGAGACAAGATTTTTTTCTCTCATCCGCAAGCACCGCTATTTGCAATATGAAGCACCAAACCCAGAATCAGAAAGACTTTGAATGAACACTGGCACACATTGCCGTCTTCTAATGCAAGAAGAGTTTGTTTTAGTAAAGCCAATCTTATTTTTAGTCCTAGTCACTTTAGTCAGTGTAACCAAAATTATGTAAACTTTCTAAATAGACTAAATATTCTAAAAATACAGTAAGACACCAGCCTCCACACCAACCAAGTCACAATATGGGTGTCTGACCTAAACCCACAAAATGAGAATGATGGGAAGGTCATTTATCAGACTGCAGTGACCACGATACGCTCCCATCACACAGTCAAAAGCAAAGGCAACCAAATGGCTGTTACTCAAAGTGATTCTGTCACCTTTGGGAAAGCATTTCATGCTGGCATACTGTAAATGCTTATCACATTAGACCTACAATTTAAATTCAGTAATTATATCAGTGTGTCTTCTGAATATTTTT